GTACTTGCACACTATCACCCACACTCGTATACCCATGTACACACATGCACATAAACACAGGCACACACACTGACACACATATACACACACATGGCATATACACTCACATACACATGCACACTGGCACACATGTGCATACATATACACATGCACATACACTTACACTCATGCATATACACACCTGTGTACAGCCACAAATCAGTGTGTCTTTAGTGCCACCCAGACCACCACCTTTTGTGCCCTCTTCCCTGATCCCACCCCACATATCTTCAGTCAAGTGACACTTGACAGCTTTAAGAGTGGTGAGGACACAACCCAAAGAACCTAGGGTACTCCATGGGGGATGCTGAGCTCCCGCAACTTGGTTTCTGGTTTTGCCCCTCTCTCCAACCCCGATTCATACCCTGCTCTGGGTCATTTCTGGGGTTGAGGCTTCTTCCAGATTTTCCTCTGGACCCAGATCAGGCCACCGACACTCCACCCGGAACCTCGTCCTTGGAGCTAAGTTATACCCAGTACCCATCACTCCATCTTCAACTCACACTGCCCCAATGCCTCCCATCTAGAAAAAACAGAGACCTGGCCTCACAGCCATACTTTCCAGGCAGACTAGTGCAGTCTTCTTAGGGGGTATTTGCACTGTAAAGGACCCCCTCTGTAGCTGAGAGAGGAACTTGCTGGGGACCCAGGGCACTTTTTGGAAAGATGGAAATGTTCTGTATCACAATTATGGTGGTAGTTACACAGCTTTATACACCTATCATAACTAATTACACCGTTGCTCCAAGAAAAGTGAAGTTTACTGTGTATAAAACCGACTTTTAAAAATTAATTTTTAAAAGATATGTCTCCAGTGTAACATTCTCTGGTTCATCTGCCCACTCCAGCCAATCTTTGGCTTTGGTGGGTAGGAGTACCCTAGGAAAATCATGCATCACAGCAATGGTTTAGGGGCAACAATGTCTTCCCAAAAGCTCCTCGAGTCTTTATCTTGTGGCTGCTCTTCCCAGAAGTAGGTGAGAACCTTGGGCAAGGTACTTACCAGCATGCAGGCGGGGGAGAGGCAGAAGAGCACCAAAAATGTTACTTCCAGCCTAAGATGTTCGAGATAAAGACAAACTCCCAGGAAAAGAGGAGAGAAGCAAGAAGGAGAGAGGGAACCCAAAGGAGAGAGAACTCAAGATGTCCAGGGAAGAGAGATTCAGCATTGCCTGGAAAAGCTTCTGAGAAGGGAATGAAATATTTGCAGTTTCCTCCGGACTCTGAGTATGTTCCAAGCAGTGAAGAGCCACGTGCTCTGGTTCTGGTGATGCCTTAGCAGCCAGGGTTGGGTGAGATAGCAGAGTTGCTACTGGAAGGGATCCTGATTAGCCAAAGGGAAGAGAAGTCATCACGGAGCTTGTCAGTGTCACACCAAAAAAGGGAGAGATGCTTGAGCAGGAAACTCTTTCTGCCCTGATCCAAACCCTAATTTTTAGCCAGCCTTGTTCTGGCTCCTCGCCCTCAATTATGCGTGACAAATAGCTCCTTGTGAGTGGGTTGGTCACCTTCTAACTCTGCTGATTTGGGTGCAGTAAAGGCCTAGGGAGACCCGTCAGTCTAGGAGGCAAATGACTGATATGCTTGTCAACTCATTCCTAGAACCCAGTCCTCCAGAAGTAGGGAAGGATCAAAGGTGCAAGGCCTCGAGGGAGGAATAAAGGGAGGGGATGGGTGAAGCAGGTCTAATGGGAGCCCAGTCCAGAAGACTCAGAACTTCTCAGCAGTCATCAAAAAAGAGGCCTGCACCTCCGGATATCCTGTCGCTGTGAGTTCTTTCTGTGCATCATGACAGACAATTTGTATCCATGTATCTTTGAGAAACTTTGTGATCAATAAACACTGTGAAAAAGAAACTAAGGTGAAGGCCAGAACTCTGACAAAATCCTCATCAGATACAGAGGCAAGGGCTCCCCCACATTACATTAAGTTGTGTGTTTTTTTCTAATTTGGCAACTATGTGATTGACAAAGTATGTGACACAGCTTTGCAGAAATTGCAGAAATTGTCCCTGGTAACAAGAACATAAGAAATCAGTACATATGACATGCAAAATAATGTTCTTAGTAACATTATATGTTATAACCCAAAATTGGAAACAACCCAGCTTTCTATCAATAAATAAATTGTGATAGATTCAGATGATAGACTGTAATACAGCAATGAAAAGGAGCTATCAGGACAAACACTACAAGGATAAATCTCACACATAATGTGGAGGAAATAGGACCCAGACAGAAGAGTACACGCCTACAATGCCATTTATAAAAAGCCCCAAAATGAGCAAAATTAATCTCAGATGGAAAAATTCCCAAAAAAAGATTGCCTTTGGGGAATTACCAGAAGAGGCACAAGAGAGATTTCTGACTGTTCATAATGTTTATTTCTTGATTTGAGTGCTGGTAGCATAGAAGTATTTGTTTTGTAAAAATCTATCAAGCTGAACATTTTGTGTTTTATGTATATTGTATCCTAATGAGAAATATATATGTGATATATTCATCTATCTACATGTATTTGTGTGTATATGTATAGTGTGTCTGTGTGTACATACATAAGCATACACCTATACACACACATACACACTCAGGTCTTCATAACTGTGTGAATCAATTCTCACAATAAATCCTTCCTTTCTCTCTCTCTCTCTCTGTACATGTGTGTATATATATATACATATATATGTATATATATATAATAGAGAGAGGAATTATGTGTGTGTGTGTATATATATATATATATATATATATATATATCCCCCTCTCTCCATAGATATAGGCATAGACATAAATATAGATGATATATACATAGAGAAAGAGAACATGCCAGACACTAGGAATTTAACACCTAAAAAATATGCAATCCATACTCTTGTTGAACTTATGAGCTAGTGGAAGAAATAGCATTAAGCAGTCACCCAAAGGAATAAAGAATAACAAACAACAAATCACGGTAAGTGCTGTAAAAAGAAAGTGGTAATGCTAGTAACGTGAAGTTGATCTTGACCTAACATCAGAGGAGGCTTTCTCTGAGGAATGACACTTCAGCTAATATGTACAGGGTGGGTAGAATTTAGCCAATGAAATGGTTAATATTTAACTGTCAACTGGACTAGATTAAAGGCTGCCCAGATAGCTGATAAAGTATTATATCTGGGTGTGTCTGTGAGGGTGGTTGTAGAAGAGACTGGCATTTGAATCCATGGACTGAGTAAGGAAGATCCACTCTCACCATTGTGGGTGGGTATCACCTTACCTGTTGAGGGCCCAGACAGAAAAAAAAAGCCAAGAGAAAAGCAGATCTGCTCTCTCTTCTGGAGCTGGAACATCTGTCTTCTCCTGCTCTTGGTCATCAGAGCTTCAGGTTCTCGGGCCTTCAGATTCCAGGACTTATACCATCAGCATCCCAAATTCTCAGCCCTTTGGCCTCAGATTGAGAGTTAGACCATTATCCTCCCTGGTTCTCCAGCCTGAGTCTGGCAGATCATGGGACTTTTTGGTGTGAGCCAATTTCCGTAATAAATCCTCGCATATATATACCTGTATATCTCCTCTTGGTTCTGTTTCTCCGGAGAATCCTGACTCATAAAGTCATTGAACCTTCAGACATAGCGAGGAGGAGAGCAAAGGCACCGATGAGGATGCACTTGGCCCTTGGGAGGTCCTGACACACAGGGTGGAGGACATCGAGTAAGAAGCACTGGAACACAATGAGGCCAGAAAGGAAGGTCATAGGGAAGATTCAGAGGACTGTGTTAAGGATTTGGCGTTTTATTTTGAGAGCAAAAGGGAGCTATTGGAGACTTTTCAGCAGATCCAATCTGCATCTGTTAAAGGCACCTGTCATTTTTGTGTGGCTGAGTTTGCAAAAAGGTAAAACACTACATGAGGAGGCAGCTAGGAGACAACTGCAGTAGCCCATGCATGGACTACAGGGCTAGTGAAGAAGGAGGGTTTCCAAAGTTCAGTTACTAAAAATGTAATTTAACACCAGCTCTGGTGAAAGAAAAAAAAGAAACACTAGGTTAAACTCTAGCAGAAAACAGTAGCAACAAATACAACCTTTAGTGGCTGACAGTAGTACTCATCTCTCCATCTACTTAAATACCCCTTGCTTCATCAATATCACATTCAAAATAAACCCCTAAGGCCACTTTATTTTATTTTACTATTTTATTTTATTTTATTGTTGGAGTCTCACTCTGTCACCCGGACTGGAGTACAGTGGCAAACTCACAGCCACCCCAGCATCAACCTGATGGGCTCCAGCGATCCATCCACCTCAGCCTTCCAAGTAGAACTACAGGAACGCACTACCACACTAATTTTTGATTTATTGTAGAGACGAGGTCTCGCCAAGTTACCCGAACTGGTCTTGAACCCGCAGGCTCAGGCAACCCACTTGCCTCGGACTCCCAAAGTGCTGGGATTACAAGCTGAGTCACTGAGCCCAGCCTAAGGTCACTTTAAATTCAGAATCTACATATTATTTTAATCACTCCTGGCCATGGACAGTCTGGCAAAACATTAGATATAACGTGGAGAGTGCTGTGTTGCTTGTCCTGACAGTCCATCTTTACCAAGCAGTCATCATTCTCCAAGCATCCTTCTCAGTGTTTACCTGACCTGACTCATGTGATCCTCATGACAACTTTAGTAGGCAGGTGATATTGTTATCCCCATGTACACATGAGGACGTCAAGTCAACGAGAGATGCCCAATATTCCTAAGCCACTGAGAGGCAGAACAAAGTTTTGAAACCAGGCACTATGGAATTAGATCTGCTTTTTAACAAGTAGGTTGTAGTTCTTTTTTTGGAGGGGAGGATCACAGAGAACAAGTTTATTTGGTGAATGCTGATGCAAATGTCATCCAAGAGAGGCGAGATGGGCAAGGTGCTGTGACCCGAGGGTCTGGGAAGCCTTAGGGCTAGACAGAAGTCTCATACAGGAAAAGCTGGAAAGTTCTCAGCCATTCAGCACCATACAGACCAGCTCTGCATAGTTGATACAACCATTGCTGTCCTCATGCCCTGCCACCAGCATCTCTACTTCTTCCTCTGTCATCGTCTCGCCCAGAGTGACAAGGACATGCTGGATTTCCGCACCCATCACTGTGCCGTTCCCTTCCTTGTCAAATGCCTGAAGTCCTTCAACATAATCCTCATAGGTGCCCTGGTCCTTGTTCTTGGCCACAGTCTGGAGCATGGGCAGGAAGTGCTCAAAGTCCAGCACCTTCACATTCATCTCATCACCCCTGGAGTTCCCCAGGACCTTGAGGACCTCAGCGTTGGTGGGATCTAGCCCAGGGCCCTCATCACGTCCCCACACTGGCTGTACAGGATCTGGCCCTCCTTGAACTCTGCGGTCTGGTCCTCAGTGAAGTCACACATCTTGACCGCTCAGCTCCCGTAGTTCTTCTTAAGATCAGATTATTGATCTTGACCTTTTTATAACCTTTTGACTGACAGAATAGTTTCCAGGCATAACAAAGAACACTGGAGGGCTGTGTTTGTCTGTTTGTTTTGCATTTCTCATTTGGTTAAATTCATTGTTCTGTTTTTTTCTTAACTTTATTATACATTCCTGGAAGTTAAATAGCTTCTCTCGAAAGTCAGCCAGAAACTTTTGACAGTTGGACATTAGGGGCTTGAGTCCTTCGTGACACATGGATTTGTTACACCAATAGCTGTTGGCTTCAAAAAGTCGATACTGTATTCCAAAATATTTGGCAATTTCAACTACATTTATAGGCATTTCCTTCATGATGGAAAACCTATGAATTCGTTACATTTTGGTTTCAGTGCTTAATCCCAGTGTACCTTTTTTTTGAAGAAGCTTTATAGAGGGGCAGCATTAAGTTATATGCAGTCCTGTGAGGTGCTACCAAATCAAATAAATCGACTGAAATGGGGGTCAGAAACATAGAGGAAGATCGCACATGTGCTGGCCAGGACAGCTCTGTTGTGGTTGACTCTAGTACTGGGCAGTTAATGGGTTTTGTTTTGTTTTGTTTTGTTTGGCAGATGTTGTAAAATGTATCCCCTTTTTGAAAACATAAAAATAAGAAATACTGATTGTTTTCTCTTTCCCCTAGTGGCATTTGCAAGGAAATCAGGAAGAGGGCAACTGTTAAGGGTAGAGATGCCACCAAAGCTTTCAACAATCTCACAAAGCTGGGGAGATAAAAATTATAGTTGAGGGCTTCTAAGGCAACCAGGATTGAGGGACCAAGATTTCTGAGAGGAGAGAGGCATAGAGAAGTGAGTCCAACCCTCTTTTGCTCTCAGAGCAGAAGGCTAGGAAGGCAAACAGAGATGTACTGAAGTTTTAGCCTAGAATTCCTTGTGTGGTGAATGCTTAGAGTTCTAATGCTGAAGGAGTTTTGTTTTGTTTGCACTGAAAATTCATCTTTAAAGAGGACTAAAGAAGAGAAAAGAGCCAGTATTAATGTTTTTAACCACTAGACTAGAGTGGACCTGGTGACTAAACTTTGATCCTGATCTCTTCAGCACAATTTGGCTTAACGATGTATTTTTAGGAACATCAAAGAATCCTGAATTTTTTCCTGAAAATTTAGAAAAAGTGAATAAATTTATTTTTAAAAAGAGAAGACAAAAAAGGAAGGAGAGCAGACCTTTGAAAAACTGATGCAGAATTTTTTTTAACTGAATAGTCTTCTATCTAACTTTAAAAATTGAATCTGTAATTAAAAGCCTTCACAAAAAAATTCTCAAGCACAGATGGTTTCCCAGGTGAATTATTCAATATATTTAAAGATGAAATAGCATTAATCTTAAGCAATCTTTTCTAAATAAAAGAAAAAACTCCCCAACTTATCTTATAATGCCAACAAAACTTGGAAGATAAAAGCTGATGAGAACATTATAAGAACTGAAAATTACCAATCAATGTCTGTCAGAAATATAGATGAAAAAAACTGCAACCAAATATTACACAACTATATATAAAAAGAATAATATATGATAACCAAGTTGGGTTTGTTCCAGTAATGCAGGGATGCATTTTACACTCATAATTAATCAATATAATTTGCCACATTACTATAATATAGAAAAAATCATAAGAACAGCTCAATAAATGAAGAAAAAGCAATTATAAAGCCAATATCCATTCATGATTTTTAAAAAACTTAACCAAGTAGACCTAGAATGGAACTTTTCAAATCTGTATATATATATTTTTTTTTTTAAACTACAGAAAATATAATACTTTACACAGAAATATTGAAATCTTCGATCTGAGATCAGAAATGAGATAAAAGTGTCTACTCTCAGCATTTTAGTCAACACTGTACTGGTCTTAGCTAGTGTAAAAAGAAAAGAAAAATAAATAAATAAGAGATATAGGGATTGAAAAGGAAAAAATATTGCCCTTATTGACAGATAATATAACTGTTTACATAGACAGTTCAAAAGATTCCACAAATAATTAAATTAAATTAAGAAGGAAAGTTAACATCATTATATTTTTTTAAATGATATTTTCATACATTGTCAATAAACAATTGCAAACGGAAATTTTAAAGCTACCTTATATAATAATGTCAAAAATATGAACTACTTACAGTGAAAACAATATATATATATGATTTTACAAGAAAAATTGAAAAGCATTATTGAGAGAAATTTTAAAAGACCTAAATAAATAAAAAGATCTGCTATGTTTTCACGGAGAAAACTTGATCACTTAAAGTTGTCATCCCAAAATTGATCTATACATTCAAGGAAATCCCAACGAAATTCCCAGTAAGTAGGATTTGTGTTCCCGCGTGTGTGTGTGAAAATTGACCTGCCGCTTTAAAATTTATATGAAAATTAGAAGAACTGAGAATAGCCAAGATAATATTGAAGAATAAAAAAGAAGAAGAAGGACTTAAACTACTGGATGTCAAGACTTATAAAGCTACAGTAATTAAAATAGTGTAATACTGACGAGATGATAGAGAAGTTGAAATTTGCAACTGAACAGAGAGCTCAAAAACAAAGATAAGAATTGCATAGAGTGAAGAAGGGATGGTTTTTATAATAAATGGAGTCTGGCCAATTAGATATTGATGACCCTGCCCGACACTTCTTGACTCCACCTGACACTACCCACAAAAATCAAGTTCAGGTGTATTGTAGATCAAAATGTGAAAGGTAAAACAATAAAACTTTTGGAAAATAGCATAGGAGAATGTTCTAATGATCATAAAAACCTTAAGGGGAAAAAATGACTAATTGTACCATGATAATATAAAGAACATCTGTTTTTCAAAGACATCAATAATAGAATGAAAACACAAGCCCCGAAACTGGAGAAATATTTGTGATACATATATCCAATGAAGGACTCAAATCCAGACTATGCTAAAGAAAAAAAAAGGAATAATGTCCACAAATCTATTTTTTAAATGTAGACATTCCAATAGAAAATTAGGCAAATGACTTGAATAGCTCCTTCATTAAAAAGGAATATCCAATTGCCCAATAAATATTGGGAAAGGTGATCCTCTTCATGGGAAATGCAAATTAAAGCCACGATGAGGCATCAAGCACTGAGATCTTGGTTGCTAAATATAATTCTCTGATAAAAGAATCAGGGCTTCTTAGAGAAATGGGTGACTCTAAGGCTGAGGCAGAGAAAATACAATAAAAGCCTGAAGTATCTTGCAGTACCAGAAAGTGAGAAAGAGCTTTAAAAATAAGAGTGGAGTGGCACATTAAAGGGACTTAGAAGCCACCCTGAAAGAGCTCGCAGTGACACAAACTGAAAAAATGTGAGCAACAAGTAAATAACAAAGTATTGAATTATAATCCAAAGTATATAATGAATAATCATGAGTTCTCACAGATATTAATAAATGAGTGAAATAAAAAAACCTTCTCTGCAGAAGAGTTTCAGATAATACATGTAGATATTGTATTTTCTAGAAGGTGGAATTTAAATCTCCCTTCCCCATCCAGTTGAGAGTGGGCTAGACTTAGTGATTCACATCCAAACTACAGAATAGAGAAAAGAAGTAGTGTCTTTACAGTGGAAAAACCTGGCTGACATTACTTTAACCAAGCGACAAAGGTGAACATCTGCAGTGATACCATGTGGGTGTCACATACTATGCAGTTACACTGTCATGAGAAGGCACTTCACCTCTATGATATTCTTTGTAAAAACCCTGAACTCCATTCTAACAACGAGAAAAACATTAAACAGACCCAGACTGGGGGACAGCTACAGGATGACTTGCCAGTATTTCTCAAGACCATCAAGGTCATAAAAGCCAAAGGAGAGAGTGGGAAACTATCACAGACTGGGTGATACAGACACCGGGGAAACATGACAACTAAATGCAATGTGGACTCTGAAAGAAGAGCTCCTGGAACAGAGAGAGAACAATAATGGAAAAACTGATGGAATCCGAAGTCTGGAGTTTACTTAATTGCAGTGTACAAATGTCACTTCCTTTTTTTTGTTTTTGTTTTGTTTTTGTTTTTGAGTCGGGGTCTGTTGCCCAGGCTAGAGTGCAGTGGCACAATTACTGCTCATTGCAGCCTCAACCTCCTGGGATCAGGCAATCTTTCCACCTCAGTCTGTAGAGTAGCTAGGACCATAGGCATCCGCTGTTAATCCTGGCTAATTTCTTTTATTTTTCTTTCTTTTTTTTTGAGACAGGGTCTCACTACGTTGCCCGGGCAGATCTCAAACTCCCGGGCTCAAGTGATCCTTTTGCCTTGACCTCCCAAAGTGCTGGAATTATAGGCATGAACCACTGTACCAGGCCCAATGTCAGTTTCCTAACTTTGACAAGTATACTATAGTAATGTAAGATGTCAATAAACAGGGAAAACTAAGTGAGGGATATGCAGAAACTCTGCACTATCTTTGCAACTTTCCTGTAAATCTAAAATTATTCTACAATAAAAGATTTATTAAAAGCAAACAAAAAATATTAGATACCACTTTACCCAAACAAGAACATCTAAAATTAGAAACAACAATAGAGACACTACAAAATGTTGGCAAGGATGTTGGAACCATTAGAATGTTCATACTCCACAAGTGAAAGCATAAACTGACACACCACTTTGGAAAACTCTTTGGTCATGCCTACTAAACTAGAATAAATGTGTAACTTAGGACACAGCAATTTTCCACTTTAATAGACACCCAAAATAAATGCATGCATATTTTCATCAAAAGCCCTGTGTAAAAATGTTGATAGCTACACTATTCTTAAGAGCCAGACACTGAAAACAGCATATACATTCTTCATTAGTAGAATAGATAGATAAATTGGGGTAGTCAACTCCTCCAAAGCGCCATTTGAACTCAGATGGCGGACAGCTGTCCAGGAGCTGTCTTATTCTTCTAGAATAAAATCGCATCTCTATTTGACTATCAAGTATTGA